GCCAGCTAATTTGTTCTCTATGTTTAGTAGAGACCGGGTCTCGCTTTTGCTCAGGCTGGTCTTAAACTCCTGAGCCCAAACAATCCTCCTGCCTTGCTTGGCCTCCCTCAAATTAATTTTGTTATGAAGATTTCATGACATGTCTTTACTCCTCACCCTACTCCCCTCCCCCAAATAACTGGAAACACCTACTGTGTCTCGGATCGAGCCTGGGACACCCCCACCCCAACCTGCAGACAGGAAAAACACAACGCAATTCTCAGCTCCAGATCTGTAGGTTCCATGGTCCTTTCCATGCAAGCCCATTCTGATATGGTCTGTCTTAACCATTCTTGAGACAATAAAATTTTAATATAAAAATGATGATAGAGTTAAATTAAATCTAAAGAATTAGAGAAGATGAAATGCTTTTTACTTTAGGGTAAGTAACACTTACTACAATGTGTTTGGATATTGCGTGGGATTTATATTTTAGTTAACTCCAAGAGACTCATAAAAAACATCTTCTCAATTATGAACGACTAAATTTGCTTTTAACATACAATTCTTGGACGTCTGCCTTGTTTCCATTGTCAACAAAGGTAGGCTGGGATCCCCGTGTCTACATTACAGTCCGCAGAGGGAAGGGAGGCACAGAAGGAGTAGGCCTCTGACAGGCACACAGAAATAGCACGTTAACACTAAGAAGTAGACCCCAGCTCTCCTGACATCACTTTTGTCCCTTAAAGTAGGCACTTGAGATTTGCCATCGCCATCTGGCATGATCAGCCTGTCTGACGTTTATAGACATAATAAACGTCGGGCATCTCGCAAGAGAGAAGAGGACTTCAGTGAAAACTTTATAACAGGTTCAGAAATAGGCCGGGCGCGGTGCCTCACGCCTGTAATCCTAGCACCCTGGGAGGCCAAGGTGGGCGGATCGTTTGAGCTCAGGAGTGCGAGACCAGCCTGAGCAAGAGCGAGACCCCCGCCTCTACTAAAATTAGAAAAAAATTAATCGGCCAACTAAAAATATATATAGAAAAAATTATCCAGGCATGGTGGCGCATGCCTGTAGTCCCAGCTACTCGGGAGGCTGAGGCAGGAGGATCGCTTGAGCCCAGGAGTGTGAGGTCGCTGTGAGCTAGGCTGACGCCATGGCACTCTAGCCCGGGCAACACAGTGAGACTGTCTCAAAAAAAGAAATAGGGCGACTTTTCCTTTCCTGTTGTAAACAAATAGAAGTAATAATGTTTAACAATTCAGGAGGGAAATCAACTCGTACCTGCTGATGATCGGAGCGAAGCACCGCCTGTCCCTCCGCAGCCGGCAGAACCGCAGCGGTCTCTCCACCGCCCGGCATCTGGGCACCTTGCCCGGTGCCGAGTGTTTTGGGCCATCCGTGAAAGATGTGAGGGACAAGACAGGGATAAGTCCTGGTTCCCTTTGCGCTTAATTAAATTTCAGAAGAAAGAAGGACCTTGTAGTTCTTGTTGTTACACAGAAAGGAGTGAAATTTGAGTTTGCAAAGGTCATGAAGGATGTCGGTGTTTCCCACGCTGGTGACCACGGATCTGGAAAGAGAGAAGCAGTTACCTGCGTACACCTGTGTCTGTCCCACTTGCCAGCGTCTCTTCCCTTCTTTTCTTACTTGTCAAGGGAATTGCCTGTATTTTTCCCTGGGTTTGCTCTTTATCCATTTCTAGATAAATGTTCTACAGTGTATTTTTCAGAGTCCTAGACTTCTCAGAGACCGCTACCCAGCGCCTGCCTGCCAGTGCATGAATCCAACTTCTGTAATTCAGACTCCCTGCCTCAGAAACGGGACTTTTTCTTCGAAGGGATGTTGCTAGAAAAATGTTTGATACAGCCCAGAAAGCTTTGTCACAGTTCCGTAAAATGAAAACTAATATTTTCAGTTTTTTCCCTTTTCCTCCCTTATTTCATTGGTGTAAGATATTCCTACCACCCTCGTCAGCAGATGTGTACGGGAGACGGCTTTTGTTCCCCTTTCTTCTGTCTTCGCCTTTTGTTTAAATTTTACTTTTCTCACTGCCATTTGGCGAAGCTTCATCATTTTAAGGGAGCTCACAAAGATGCGTGTTCAAGGAGTGGGGTACCTTTCATCGTGTGCCAAAGAAAAATGACGGTTTTACTATTCCAGAGAGGTCTGAGAGCCCTCCGCCAGGGACCCGAGTTCCCGTCTGTTTCTTTTGATCCGTAAATGATCTGAGACAAGTCACCTTGGGGATCATCCCCCCACCCCGTGGTATTTCCTAAAATGTATGGTTGAGTTGGGGATCGGGCAACCTCGCTGTTAAATGTCCCTTCCAGATCAGTAATTAATTAGTAGGATTTTGTGTAAAATACCCAAACATTTGCTGCTTGCCTACCACGTGTGAAGAGGGCATGTTGATTATCCCGCTTAATCCTCAGATAATTCCAACTTACTATTATTAACTATCCCCATTTTATAGATGAGGAAGCTAGAAAATACTGGGGTTAAATACCTTGGCCAAGGTCGCAGAGCTAGTAAATGCCAGTCTCGGATTCCGATGCGGTCCGTCTGACCCTCCAGCGCCAGCTCAAGCCCCTGCCCTGCACAGTGATAAATGAGCGCCGTGCTGTGCTCCGAGGCTCACGAGCGTCCTCTCCCTTCTTTCTCTTTCAGGAGACACAATATTCATCATTCTGCGGAAGCAGAAGCTCATCTTCCTGCACTGGTACCACCACATCACTGTGCTCCTGTACTCCTGGTACTCCTACAAAGACATGGTGGCCGGGGGCGGCTGGTTCATGACCATGAACTACGGCGTGCACGCCGTGATGTACTCCTACTACGCCCTGCGGGCGGCCGGCTTCCGCGTCTCCCGGAAGTTCGCCATGTTCATCACCTTGTCCCAGATCACGCAGATGCTGATGGGCTGTGTCGTTAACTACCTGGTCTTCTACTGGATGCAGCATGACCAGTGCCACTCTCACTTTCAGAACATCTTCTGGTCCTCACTCATGTACCTCAGCTACCTTGTGCTCTTCTGCCATTTCTTCTTTGAGGCCTACATCGGCAAGATGAGGAAGACAGCGAAGGCTGAGTAGTGTTGGAACTGAGGAGGAAAGCCATAGCTCAGGGTCATCAAGAAAAATAATAGACAAAAGAAAATGGCACAAGGAATCACACATGGTGCAGCTAAAACAAAACACAGGAGCAGACACACACCCAAGGCAGCTTAGGGATAATTAGGTTGACTTAACCCAGTAAGTTTATGATCCTTTCCGGGTGAGGACTCACTGAGTGCGCCTGCATCTCAAAGCTCTGCTGCCGGGAGACCACGTCCCCTCCTTGCCTGCCAACTCTAGGACGGAGGAGAACAGGAGCCAGAGGCAGAGAGAGAG